TAAATTGGAACTTTTAAGGATCATTTTGCCTTGGACTCTGATTTAATTCTGCATGATACTTGGAACGCTGACACTCTCATTGTCCTTATGCAGTTCTTTATTCATCATTTTAGAAATCTCGACTCAAGGTTCTCACTTCTGTTATAAGGCAAACATGAAAGCACTCACTAAAAAGTCAGCCACACCAAACTCAAAGAGGACCAACATTACACTAAAAAGGTTGCCCTCTGGAAGTCCCAAGAAAGCACATTCCTGAAACTATAAGCATAAGTCCCTCCTCTGTGATTTTACAGGGGGGGGGGGAAGTAGTGAGTAATCGAGAAATAGTTTTTAAATGACTTAATAGTTATACAGCATTATTTTTTTATAAGTGTCATAGAAGCCAGGTAAGGCATATAAGCACTGTAAACATTATGCTGTGTGAAAACATAGCAATTCTTTTTGCCTCTTGCAACAGGCTCATCTCCAACTATAGAAATGGCTGAATACCATTTCTGGCCACAATATTCCATACATTTTCATTTCAGATGTTGCTTTATTTTTAAAAATAGCAGTGAATTAAGTATCAACCCAGTGAGTTAAAAGAAAGAATAGGATAGGATCCAGTCTAGGAAATCAATTACTTTGGGGGCAATTCTTATTCATTATAATTCTGCTGCAAATATTACAATAACTTTGCATAAGCATACCTCCCATAAACAAAGGAATATAAATAATATAATTTTGCTGTATTTTATGCACATCTACTTCTTACCTGAGAAAGTGGGTTAGGTGTAGGCAGGAGTCCACCCCCCGGCAGAAGGCCTGCCACAGCATTAGCTGGTGCCAGGAGAGATAAAGCCTTAGTCTCATCAGGAATAACTCCTGCAGAGAGACAACTTTGCATTAGAAGTTACTCATCAATTATCTTTTTTCTTTTTTAAAAAAAACCACACACAAATACACCCAGAAAATGTCTCCCTGAAACACCATCTGAGTTTGCTGAAAGTACTTATGTTGGCTATAATACAATGTTTGCTCTCTTAATAATTTATCATTAACTGGTTTGTCAGAATGAAACTTCAATGTGTGAAAATTTGTTCCTTTTTCTCTACAAAAGGTTAAGTTCTAGAATAAAAAATAGCACAATACACACTACTTTTTTGTTAACACTGCCAAGATTTCATCACCTGTACTCGATTTTTAAGTCATGAACCAAACGTAAGCAAGCACAGTCGGTTCTCCAGGGGTGTGCTCTCAACTTTCAAAAGCTGTTTTATGAACAACGACTCGTGTCGGCTGCTTCACTATAAAGCACACAGAAAAATCAAGATACACAAGACAAAAAAAGTTTGATTTAGGGGTTAATAAAATGGCACAGTTCACTATGATTTCTTTTACACCTACCATACAATTTTGTAAAACTTAAGAGAAGGTAAGAAAAAGTGTAGGGCTTTTGCTGACTTCTCATTTGGATATGAAGGTCTCCACAAAGGTCCAAATGTAGGTTCTGCATATGTGTCCACGTGTTATGTGTTTATGTGAACACCTAAAATGTGACACATTCTTACCTGTGCAGTAAAATACATGCTCCACTCTGTGTCATGATTACTGTACCAAGAATGCTGCTGAGTATTGTTGCCCTTTCAGAAGAAACTTCTGATTTGCAGCTTGAGGTCTGCTAAGTGTCTATTTTTACTGCCTATCCCTGAACAAAGAATAACCTTCAAAAGGCCCAACGTGAGACAAACAGTAATGTTGATTCTTGTTATTTTAACCAACAGCAAAAGCCCTATACATATGGATTAATCTGTTAATGTGCCCAAGCCCCCAACGTGAGAGAGTTCAATAAGATAACTGTACTATATATTTGCAAATACCAGAACCGTTTCTGCAAGACATATTTAAAAAAACTGCATCTCATCATAAAACATACAATATGTACAGGGCACTTAAGAGAAACTGGATAAGCTGCAGAAGAAAACTGTTGGGTGGTATTTTCAGCAGGGCCTGGTATATAGTTCAGGCTGAACCAGGGAAAAGAACTGTAAAACACAACAACAAAAAAGAAAAACCACTGTTAAATAAAGGTAATGGTTCCTTCCACCTATACTGAGAAGTGCCGATAATATAAACAAATGTATAATACACAGCACTGTTATCTTTCTTCTGTCACTGAGCTGTCATAATTTCAATACCAAAAGTTATGGTGGGAAAAGGGGGGAAAGGTCATTTAGATACAGGGCAATAATGCATCAATATAAACATATCTACTGAGATTATGGGATAAATTTGCATGCAAATTATGTCTCAGAGGATATTATTTATGTTTACACACTATTAGTGCAACTATAACATTTCTGGCATCTATCTAAAAATCCTCTTGAGACACCTCACAGAAGATCTGCATCCATTAAGTAGTCATGCATCTGATCCTCATTTTGTTTTTAGGAAAAAAGTTATTCAGAAATAAAACTACAATTTTTTAAAAAACAATGAGGCCCCTCACCAGTTAATTTTCATGCGTCAAGAGTTTTTTACTGCTGCTTTGTTAGAACCATGACATACTGCATGAATGTGTAGAAATGAAGAAAAAGAAACAGACAAAAGAAACAAACATTAACCAAAGAACCTACACAAACCCACCCAAAGTCCCTGTTTAATATCTGCATTGCTTCCAAATCCTTCCATTTCATCACGAAGATTATAGTACTATGCCTTACCGTGAACTTTGTGTTAAGTCTAGAACACAAAGCAACAATCAACACCAAGATGTATGAACACACTAAGAACAGAAATGCGACTTGATACTAGGGGATATATGATCAGTACAATGCATACTGTAATATTTGTAGAGAGGTAATATCAGAACGTATCGCCACAATAGTAAAGGGTAGATTTCAATTCAGTAGAGTGCTTAAGCATATGCCTCAATGCAACTGAACAGTTTCATTGATCTTGAAATGTTTTTTTTTTCTCAGCAATGCTTAAGCACTAGCAAAACAAGGTCTTGTGAAAAGAAGAATTGAAGACTGATACCCACATTCTTTCATAGATAAGGACCATTTGCAAGAACAGAGTAGAGACCAAGTTCATAAGAAAAAAAAATCATGGGTCCATTATTCTGATAAACCACTTGTTATATCCCGCCAACTACAAAATGGTGCAGATCCTAAAAACTCAATGTGAGTTCTTGATAGGTAACAACTACTCAAATTGCATTAGACAAACCTCAGAAAAATCATCTTTTTGACTGGTATCGCAGCATGAGATTTATCAGTCATCTATCTTTCTAGTAGAGTTTAAAATCTTGTTTATAAAGAGAAAAAAATATGTATCAAAACCATTCAAGCTCTTAAGGAGTTCTTAAAACACTAACTTGCAAATATATTGGAGGCTATTGGTTCAATTAATTAGAGCCAAGGTGAACACGACAGCGGCATTCCTTCCCCAATCACATTAAAAAAAGGTGTATAATCCATGTTTAGTAATAAAAGGAATACAAAGAGGCAAGGGCTCTGAAACCTACCCCAGCCTGCTGCTTATTTCACCACAGTAGCTTTCTGCGGGTGCTGGCACAGTTGCAGCAATGGAGCTCAGATAAAGAAAAAACAAAGGGAGACAGACTGCAAGGAGGTTAAATTGCAGGCACAGGAAGGCGGCTATACACTTCACCCCTTTGCTCTGAAAAGAAGCACCCCACCCCTCTTTCTACAAAATTGGGACCAATCCATATTTAAAAACGCAGCTACTGTCGCATCTAGCTTGGCCCTAATATAGACAGCAATTATGTAAGACTCAGACATAGATATATCTGACACTGTCAGAATTACATATTAAGAAAGAGTACTTTAAAGTATTCTATTTTATTCAGCCAAGTTAAACCAATGAGGATGAAACTTTGTTGGTATTAATTATAGTTTCAGTTTTGAATATCCTAACATTAATTAATTAGACCTGCCTGTTGCATATTCTTCTGCCTTATTAAGGAGTAGAACGAGGCACTACATATAAAACATAGACTACAATCCAGCAATTAGTCTGCATAAATCCCACTGATTTTAATGAGATGTAGTAATCTTTCTATGCAGAAGTGCAGCGTTAAGTGAAGTCATTTATTATAATCCCGTGATCTAAAATGAGTACTAGTTTATCAGTGAATAGTGCCTTTGAAAGAGTTGTGGTGAAATCTACAGAGGTTCAACAGAACTCATTAGAAGAGCAGTCTTCTTGACAGTGTTTTAGAGTTATATTTCCAACCTGCTCATTGTTTCTCAAATTACTGTAACACCCTAAAAATGTAAGAAAAAGAAGAGAGAGAAAAATGTTGTTAACAAGTGAGTGATTTACACCGGGAGAACACTTGGGGACTTGAGTGCTTGCTGGCCTTTAGTTAATGTCTAGAATCCCCTGTAGCTGCAGAGGACCCCACTGTTTCAGTCATCTGGAAGGGCTTTTGCATTTGCCTTCTCCACTATAAAAATCACACACACAAATAAGAGAGAAGAGTTTATTATTTTAGAGAAATTCTAGAATATATAGCAAGGTTGAATAAGAAAATGTGAAATAAGATCTAACACCCAGTGCCCATTTAGCACTTTTGCAGATATTTTCTGACTAACAAGAGATCTCAAACCCTTGGTGTACCAGAATTTATATTGAGGGTAACTGCTTTTCATTTGTCAAGTAAAAGAAGCAGAACATTGCCTTGTAATTGGTGATATATATTCACTAACTCTCCATGAGGGAGAATGAACCATGTTCATAACAGATGCCAGATAACTTAAAGCAACATTGCTTGTTTATATATTTCATTTTTAAAAGATAGCTTAAAAAATGTCTCGAAGTAGTCTGGTGAAAATAAATCAAATAATAATGCGTAAATATAAAATTATTCTAAAAGCCTTTGTAAAAACTATTGGGCAAGCTCCAGCAAGTGCTCAATTGGTATTTTATGTCTGTTGTACAGAAATTAAAGATGAGGGTATACCAAGGGTTTTAAAAATGCAAAAAGCTTGGATATTTTATATGCTAAACTTCATGCTATTCAACTACATCAGGATTTAGTACCAGAGGTCTATGGCTTCATAGATCTTTAAACAATTCACAAACCTTCTGCGTAGGGTACGACTATCAATGCTCGGTCAACGAATACAGTATTTGTCAGGTGCTGAGCCACAACTGCCGAGTCAGGTTCTTGAAACTTTACAAAACACACACGGGAAGAAACAGGCAAAGGGGAGTCACTGAAAAAAAAATCAGAATATAAACATCAGATTAACATGAAGATTAAGACATTATTTCACTTATGGAACTATATAAAAAAGTATTGGACATGAACCCTACAGTTTTTCCAAAAAATTCTTACTGGTTTTTATGTTACAGAACAGGAAAAATTATTAAACACATGCCTGGAGAAGAATAATATTTATACTTAATTTCAATTAAACCTAAATAAGACTGAATATTAATATGTACCTATCCTTATGAAGAGACTAACCCTATAGTTGTTCACTCAGCCATACACTTAGTTCTTACTATGTGTATTTAAGATTTAATCTAATACTGAAAACTAGGAAGATATAACCGACATTCTTGATGGGATGTCACAGGCAATAGATAACTTGAATTTTTCCTCACTGAAAAAGAAATCTTCCCTCAGGCAATATATCATTTCTCTCTTAAAGAAATATATGCAAAGTGCATCATATACATTTCATATACATGATGGTACTTTACCTTTCTAGTGACAAAAAACATACCTAGTCCAGGGCTAAACTATAGGGTTCTTGATATTTTCAAGCCTGGTTATTTACTGCTGTGTTTAACCTGGCTGGGAAATAGCTACAGGAAAACAAACAAGCTCAGACAGCACCAAGAATACAATGGTTTAGCTTTGCACCAAATAAAATATTAAGTGAGATAGCATGATTACAGTGTTGGATTAGAGTTCAGAAGAACCAGATGCTAATTCACCATTAGCCACAGAAGTTCACCAGGCTCTTTGGATTATACACACACTCAGTCCAATCTACCACTCAGATTTTTTTTCCCCCGGAGAAAAATAGGACGGAATATTATGTGAACTATCTTAAACTGCTGAATTAAAGAAGAGCTATAAATCAAATAAACAATATAGATTTGTAACTATAAAGTAAATGCTCAGACCAAATTATGTCACTTAGGGTGAAAAATCACCAACCAATCCTCTTCCATAGAAAATTGTTTTACTTCCCAACTTGTTGTTTCAGAATAGCTAGTATACTTTAACAATTATATTAGGACCAAGTTATGCTTTAAGTACTGATGCTATGCAGGTATTTTCTGAAATGTAACCCTGTAAATAGTTGGTTGGCTTCTATATTTCAATAATTTCCCATAATTACAATTTGAAGAGCTTATTTCATGCAGAAAATCTGAATATTAAGAAAGGACCCCTTTCCTATTGGTGTTTTAGGCATACAGTGATAATCTATGGAAGCAACTTTTTTCCTAACCTGGATCTCCCCAAAGTATGCTTCAGCATAAATCCCAAAGTATGCTATACTGTACTGGCTGGGGATCATGGGAGTGTCAATCCCAGAGATCACCAGATTGTTAACAGCCATTCTAGAATATGCTTTTGGATTATATGGGACACAGGCCAAGCCTGCTGTGTTTTCCTATTGCCATTTCCTATAAATGGAGTCAGGCTCTTGGAACTTTACTGAAGACCAGTGTTTTCCTCTCAGTGGAAGAGGGAAGGCAAGAAAGATGGTGGGAAGATGGGTGAGGGCCATAGCAGATGTCATGCAGGGATATGCTTGGCTTAGGCAAGAAGAGACCTGTCTCAAGTATCAAGAAAATTGGGGAGTGGTTGGGCCAGAAGACTATGTTGCCTTGGCATCTACTTGAGATGTAGTAATCTTGCCTTCTCACATTGTCTGGATTTTGTTCTATCTGAAACCTGAAGAAACCAAAAACATTTTGGTTGCAGTATTTCTCTAATCTGTGGCTGACCTCAATAGTTCAGCATTACTTCTGCTACAGTAACCCACCTCAGTGGTGCCCTCTGATAAGCTTGGTTGTTTTCTTGAAGATGTTTCATTTACCCAAAAAGGTTAACATCATCAGTGTTAGGATTTCAACCCTGAACTACAAATATTCTCCTTTATTGGCACTGCAGGTAATCCTCGACTTACGACCACAACCGAATCCAAAATTTCTGTTGTTAAGTGAGACCTTTACGTTGAGTTTTGGCTCTTTTTACAACCTTTCTTGCCACAAGTCAATTGTGTTAAGTCAATTGCTGCAGTTGATAAGTTACTAACCTGGTTAAGTGAATCTGGTTACATTGACTTCGCTTGTCAGAAGGTCTCAAAAAGTGACCACATAACCCCGGGACACTAAAATGGTCATAAATATGAACTGGTTGCCAAGCATCTAAATTTTGATCACATGATCATGGGGAATGCTTACGACTCTGAAAAACGGTCGTAAGTCACTTTTCCAGTGCTGTTGCAACTTGGAACGGTCACTAAATGAACTGTTGTTAAGTTGAGGACTGTCTGTTCAGTCATCTTTTTTGGATTCATCATTAAACTAATGTTCCTGTTTTATTTACACCCTCCAAAAAGAAGCCCTCTTTCAGGTATCATAACCACAAATTTCCAAACATCCTTCCAACAAAGAAGGATATATGGCCAGGATCATTTTTCTTCAGCCGGTTTATTCTCCTTCAAAATCCAAATCATGGGTTATCATTCTGCCTGGTTTGAAATCAAGATTGCATCCCAAGGATGTCTGGCTTATCCGTATGCCCTAAAAACATTCCTCCAAACATAACCTATACATGTAAAACTTTTTACCTGAAAATGACAAAAAAACCCACTCCTCCAAACTTAACCTATGCTGTATACTTCAAACATTTTACCTGAAAATGACAAAAAACCACTCCTCCAAACGTAACCTATGCTGTACACTTAAAACAATTTCCCTGAAAATTACAAACAGACCCTACAAATGCTATTAGGGCAGCAAAAGAAAAAAGAAGAGAAAAAAAAGCAACTTTGTGTTATATGTAACCGACAACAGGAAACAACGACCAGGATTAGACCGTAGCATAGCTCTTCCTCCTTTTACAAGATTAGTTTATTTCACGCAATACAGCGCTTTTCCTAAAACCCACCCGCCTCACAACGTGGCTCTCTTACGGAAGCGGGAGACGCGCGTCCATTAGAGCAGCAGAAAAACGCTTAACCTCCCACCCACCCCAATACACAATTAATAAAGGTGGTGTTCAAAACCGTCCCTCAGCGCCCCCACTGCCGACCCTGGCAGATTTCTTTCCCGCCTCCTGCCTTTCCTTCCCCTCCTCAGGTTTCGAAAGCAGACGAGGACGGCGAGGCAAAGAAAGGCCGCCCCAGCGCCGGAAGCTCCAAGATGGAGCGGACGACTGCGAGGAAGCGACCGCGTGATCCGCTTTTTAGCTTTCGGAAGCAGCCAAGCTCGTCGATTTCTGCCTTGTCCTATATCCTCTCCCGGCCCCACCCCGGCCCTAATAATACCAGACTGATGGTTTCAAGGAGGCCGCGGCCTTTAAAACCCGACCATCCGTCTCTCTCGCGAGGAGAAGCGGAACTTACTCGGGAGGGAAGAGGCGCAATTCTTCGATCTTGCCCAGGAAGCCGAAGAGAGTCCGCATCTGTTCCGAGCTGGCACTCGGGGAGACATTGGTGACCTGAATCACATCGGTGCCGTTGCTTGAAGCCATCGCGCTGCCTCCTTCTCCGGCACTTACAAACGCATCGAGGGCCAACGGGTTAAGGGCCCTGGGGAATCGGGAGACGCCTCCTTCCTATGTCCCTCAGCGCTTCCCGTCGCTCTAATTGCAAGGGAAGAAAAAAAAATAAAAAAGACCCTTGCGCGCAGAGTAACGGCCACCGAACGGTCGTTTCGCTACCAGACTCCCTGGGCCGCAATATCCCAAGCTCCTCAGCGGCTCTCTCCGAACGACGCAAGAACCTCGCGGCCTGCGCCTGCTCAGAACTAGGCCGCCTGGTGAAAGGAGACACGCATAACTTGCGTGTGCGCATGCTCACTTGAGATGCCTTGCTGCGCATGTGCAAGCGGCGCTAAAGGCCTTTTCTGTTTTCCGTAGGGGATCGTGGTTCGCTCCGAAGAAGCTTCTTGGATGAGAAGCGAAACGTCTTCAAAGTAAAATCAGAAAGTCCAGTTGCCTCTTGAAAAAGCACCTTTGGGACAATCATAACCTGGATGACTGAGAATCACCATAGACGATTGATGCTTAGTTTTATTCGGCGGGGGAGGGATTTTTAATTCTGAGCGATACTGCCGTGTCAGCTTTCCAAAGTCCATTTGAATCGAAGTGATAGATAGATTGCATGCTTGCATGCATAAATTGCATGCTTGCTTGTATAAATTGCATGCACAAATCTGTCTTATTAGCCTCTCTCCATTGTAATAAAACAGTGCTGGCAGAGGATCTACTTTTTGAGTGTTTTAGCCGATGTATACATGAAGGGTCCTTGATGCTAGTGCATCACTAGTACTGATGGTGTTGTCTAATTTGGGTAATGACATCTGCAAGAAATCCAAACTCAGCACCAAGGATTCCTCATTTCAACCCTGAGCTACAAATGTTTTCTTTTATTGATGTATAACTTGCTTGATCACCAGCACAGGAGAAAGCCAAAGCTCAGGAAGTGGAACCAACTTCCTTTTTCAAGCAGAAAGGAGTCTTGGCCATTAGCCTAATTAAATGAGTAGTTCCTAAGTACTATAGAAATTATTCATATTTCTAAACAACCCATCTCTCAAAGAGTGGCTACAGTATGATTTATTCATTAGGTCACTGTTAAAAATGCTATTTCTTGGTTACGGGATTTTATGTAAAATACTTGGCAAAGTTTTTCTATTTTATGTTGTGAAATTTTCACATGTTCCATTGTAAAGCTTGACTGACAAGTAAATTGTAAAGATGATTTACAATTTGCAGAATTTAACAAAGTATTCTTTAACAGTGCATTGTTTTAAGCACTACATCATAGCATTAAAGTAGATTGAATATGCCATGTATGTTTGTTCTGGAGGTCACCAGATTGCAG